ATACGTATGTATATGCAAGGTTGTGCATAAACTTCCCACACATTGCATTCAAGGCGTTTGAAAAATAAGAACTGGCAGTAAAACAAAGTACACTGACATTTTGGACCAGAATATTCAGCTTGTACGAAGGTGTACGTATAAATAAATAAAATGTCTCAGCGAGTACTCTGGCAGATACTATGTTCTATTTTTTAACGGATGATTGATAATGCCTGCTATTTAAGAAGAATATTTCAGATGCATAATCAAACTCAGAAATAAAAGGTAGACGAAAAGGAGCCCTTACCTGATACAGTGGTGCTGCATGAGCTCGTCTGCATGATTCGCAGTGGCAATATAGAGGCACAACCTCTGTATCACTTTTGAGCTCGATTCTGAAACGGATCCTTTCACAATAGCAAAACCCTTCGAGTTCCATGATTATATTTGTTTTGAGTGGTTTGGGCTGGAACTATACTGGCAACAGGTAGGCTAAGACAAGTATGATGCTGGCGCCTCAATGGTATTTTTTCTCAGAATACTTGTTGCGTATGGGCGGCAATGTATTCGGATACTGGCAGTTGTAACAAGATGCTTCGGTCGCTGTCGACTCGCAATTTCAACAATGGATTTCGCTTGCATTAAAATAAATATATATTGTAAAATCTAAAGTAAACACGTTTTATCATTATATTTGTGAAAATAACGACCCTCTCTCTACTCAATCTCTACACGAGAGCGGAGACACTGGACTCCTGGAGAGTGGTGTGGGAGTTGTCAATCCTTCAAATTTCCAGAATGCCATGCACAATTCCGGAACACATGTGTGTACACAGCAAGAGAGGATGTGAAAGAAAATCGTTGTCGTAAAGATTGTGACTTTCAAATGCTCTTCTGTTCATTTTCCTCTCTCGAAGTTCAACGTTAAAGTGCTATGAATACGATGGATCCCAAAACGTGTTGAGGCATACTTTTAATTTTTCTCTATATACTACATAGTAGAGGACCATGATCCCAATGCGTATATTTATCTCATCAGACCGTTTTTCAAACGACCGACCAAACTGGGAGCCGTTATTCTAAAAAGAAAAAATATACTCTTTAGAAAATTAAAAAATATAGCAATAAATGATCTCAAGACACTACTGACTGCAGCTTAGTTACCAAGTTGTATTACCCAATAGAGTGACAGAAAATGACCTTTCTCCCCAATAAAATTTTGTTTCCCATACATGGTAGATACCATTGGCTGAACAGATTCCAGCCTGTTATTTAGAAAAATGCGTACCTAATGCAAGTGGCAGCCGCAGAACGACGAACGTATGTATGTACATCTGTGTATGAAATTCATATATACTAAGGTGCAACCCATCTGTTCAATTACTCCTCTGAATCTCTATACTGTGTGCGTTACTACTGTGTATGTACATCCTTTACATACGTCCATGTGCCGTCGATAGTTAAGACAAGATGCTTGAGCTGGAGAAGATTGAGAAACTCCGAAAGAACCTTGTTTCAGGCAGTATGTTACCGTTAGGAGAGCAACCGTGCCGACGCTTACCGATTTATATTTTTATATTGAACACATGTCATCAGGTTTCGCTGATTTTTCGTTTATATTCTGCGCGGTATCTCGCGTTTAAACCAGTGAAATTGTACTTTGTAGCGCACCGAACGAGTATGTCTTTGTGCTAGATGTTTACTTGGTGGCTACACTGCACGCCCCCTACACCCGCGCAATGTCACTTTGATACAGTGCATACACAGTTACAGCTGCATTTCAGTGTCCTTGTAGCCTACTACTTCTGATATACGGACCACCACTATATCGCACTACATAGCAACTGGGCATCTCAGGACACACTAACAAGAAATAGTATTGGCGCCGAGATATCACTTTATTTATAGGCATAGAACTATCTGTAGGCAGAAGATTATAGTAGAGACGCCATCTCATTCCAGAGTATTGCTTGACCACCATATTTAGGTGATAATAAAAGTGTGGTCATTGAAGCCAATCACGTTGGGTTGCCAGAATGCCGAGCCTTCGATCATGGCATTCCCACCCAATTGGCAGTTAGAGCTCCCCTGGGCTTCGGAGAAGTGATGTATGCCGAATTTATGGATCGTCTGAACACTGTATGTTATATTATTAGGATTCTCGTGACTTTGTAGAGCTGTAATATATTGTAGAGTTGATACTAGGATCAGCAGTTGTTAAGTGCGACTTGATAGGTCCTGTGTGGGTAGAGCAACCCTGGATGTAGGATTCGTTAGCGATTATATAGCAAAATAAAACAGTGGGGTGTTCGATTGAAAGTCAGTTACGAGCACGCAGTGTTCTATATGAATATACTCGAGTCCTTGTGAGCACTACCTTGGTCAATTTGGAATCAGACATCGGTTTCCGCCAACTAAGTCATTATAAATTTTCAAATTCTGATGATAGAAACGCCTTGATTCTATGCACAACCTCTATACGTAGCTTTCAGTCAACAGTGTAATATGTCTTGAGTCAACAGTGTAATTATCCGCCCTGGTATGTTTCATCATCACCAACATCCTTGTGTTTTGTTCCACGACTATTATGTAGTCCCTGGCGACAGCCTATAACTCTGAAGTCGAGAGACCGGGATGTTGCGCACGCATATTCTGCTGCGCAAGTGTATCAGAGAAGGCCCAGTCAGAATATAATGCCATCCAAGAAGCTCCACAGGCATTTGTGGAGTCTTGGAATCAATTGCTGTTCGTGCCAAATGATTGGCATGTGAAGCTTTTCGAGGTAGGTGCATGTATTTATGTACACAACATAAGTGCACCAATAACTTGACTCTACATACGCACACATAAAACAAATACGTATATATACCTACCATAGTCTAGTTGTAGATATCTGTGTGAGTATGTTTTAGTATGTGTCGATTAGTATGTCAAACTCAGAGTGAGTGGTCTCTATACGCTGCACTAGGCTGGGTTTGTTTCTAAGGACACAAATGAATGCAACTATAATTCCGTACTTTGGGGAAATGTATACCTCTGGAATAGTGTGGCTGATATTGGGTTTGTTTCTAAGGACACAAATGAATGCAACTATGTTTCCGTATTTTTGGGAAATGTATACCTCTGGAATAGTGTGGCTGATAGATTGAACTTGAACTTCATGCGATTGTTATTTAAACTCGAACTTGGTTGCAATTGTTGTTTGCGCGATTGTTGTTTAAACTAAGGACTTTGTGCGATTGTTGTTCTAACTCGGACTTTATGCGATTATATTTATTTATTAATATATATACATGTGTGTGTGTGTGTGTGCTATATATATATAACATCTATATATATATATATATATATATACTCACATACATGCATATATACATACATACGTTCATACATGCATGCATGCATATATATATATATATATATATATATGGACTCAAATACAAAGACACAAGCATACATGCATATATACAAATATTGTTTTGTTATATAAATATGTATGTATATATATTTACATACGTATATATATATATATAATATTTGCATACGTAAATATATATATATAATATTTACATACGTATATATATATATAATATTTACATACGTATATATATATGGACTCGCATACAAAGATACAAGCATATATACATATATTTTTTTATATTAAATATGTATGTATATATATTTACATACGTATATATATTTATATATTTAATATTTACATACATAAATATTAATACAGTATATATATATATATATATAGATGCATTTACATACATACATAGATACAGTATATTTACTCACACATATTCTATTTATATATATATATATAAACATGCATGCATACATTGATTGTTTATTTATATATATATATATATACGTATATGCATACATTCATTGTTTATGTACATTTTTAGATATACATATAAACATATTATATATACGTATTTATATATACACCTATGATTCCTTGTTTTTGTGAAATGTATAACCTCTGCAATAGTGTGGCTGGTTTTTAATTAGGCGTGTTGTATATGTAAAAGTAGTCAATATTTTGCGGCACCTGCATGATCAGATGTCCAAGCATCAAAAAGTACGAGTATTAGCACATCGTTGGTATCAACTACTGTATATACGAATGCATGCTATATATCACTCAGCAGCTTCTCTGTCGCTATCCACCCGAATTGGGTATATAAAGATTGTACATTTGTATCTATATAGATTTAGTCCCGATTAAATCACACATGTTAAACTTGTAGCTATTAGCATTATCAAAAGATTTATATATGTATAAGTATATACATATATAAATGTATGTATATGTATGTATGTATATGTATATAGTCTCAGTCCAACAGTTATACACATACCCGTGCCTGTACAATCTACCTGAGTAAGGCTCGGGAAATAGTACTTGGTTATGAGACTGTAAAAAAGTAATAAAAAATACTGCACTCGTAAGTCAGCAAATACACATACGCACTACATGTGCTGGTACCCCCCAAAAACCCCCCCCCAAATACAACTGATCAGGTATACGCACTTGAACTTTTTGGTGAAAATCTGTAGCTTTATCTAATTTACAAAAGTGCATTGTTCGATTTATTTCTATACCGATCGTTTCAATTGTACACGTACAGCGCATAAACTTGTGAACGTATTTAGGGTTTTTTCCTCTTATTTGTCTTCTGTTATTTATTGATTCTATGTTTTCAGTATGCGTGACTGATATTGTGATGGGCTGAACGCCCGTGTGCCTCTAACATCGCATACATAACATGCATCCAGTTCGATTTGACTACTATGAATCAGCACACAACCACTCTAGCAAAAATTGGTCTTAACCGAAACACACTTATCCGCGTGTATACAGATGAAAGAGGATGGCGTGGAGTTCACCTGGCTCGAATTCACCAAGACGGTTGCCGCCGCCACCACAAACCAACCAATGGGATTAAGGATGCCTGAGCAAGCGATGGTAAAGGACTCCAGAAGACTCAGTGACAGTACCGATAACTTCAGAGACACAGTAAGTCGATCAAAGATAGACGATTACTATGGTGTAGTCGCGTTGTATTGTGCAGGGTTTTCTTTATTATGTGAAATTTTAAACCAGTTTTGAACACGAAGTCCATAAACATTATCAACTACAGTCCTACTACACCGCCACGGATAAGCAAGAAGAGGAGATCGGTGACCAAGACCCGGGCGCACAACTTGACCGCAGTTCAGCGGATGTGCAAGAGGAAGACGTTGAAGCCGCGCCGTGGAATAGTGCCGGCTATCTGCCACAGGTCACTACCACTGGGACTGTAGCCTTCGAGCAGGCGGCCACATGCCTTCAAGGGTTTATTGAAGTACGTGTCTATATATATATATGTATTCTTTGTGGATTGTATTTTTGCCCGTGGAAGCTGCAATGCTGACTTCATGCATACGTATACAGCTAGTGTTGCTACACTGATCGTTCACTAAAGGCATGTGCGTATATTTGTCAAGTTATAATGATATGCGTTACTTCTGTGTATGTTCGCGTATGTATATGGGCCCGTGGAAGTTTGATATTATCTATGTCAACCCACTTGTGGCTACCGATGTATTTGTATATGTATATATGTGCGTATGCACAATATGTGTGATAGGGTGTTCGTCAGGTATGTTATGGAAAACTCGGTATTTACCTAACCACATGCGATCCTCCCCATTAGAGTCACAGATTCAATGGTTGCCTACATGTCTTGTGACTGTTTCGAGTTAACACTGTCATATACATACACACAAAGAATATGAATAATGCACTACCATGCATCATACAAGACCTTGAATATATGCTCAATATATACTCTTCGGCAAACTGAACTCACCCAACAGCAAAAATACAGCTCGAGTGAATCCCTTTCGAGTGCGATCAAACCTGGAACCATGATAACGGTAGTGGAGACCCCTGCGGATATGCCTGTGAGCGAAGTACAGAAACACTTGACGAAGGAGGCCAATTCGGAAGACGCAACGACTTTCAAGCGAAATAGATCGACTACAGAGTTTACCACGCTAGACGCGATCGTTCAGGTGTGCTAGCGGATGGAAATGTACTAATATCGCTGACTATGTGTATGATTGTATCTATTTGAGTAGATAAAATGCTTGATGGTGAAGACACAATGAGATTGGTAACAAACTTTTAGGTTCATTGCCTTTAGGATTGAAGCACAAGTCCTGTATCAGAACATGATGTGTATATTAGAGTGGTTGGTTGCTGCGATAGGATGCAGCCTAAGGTGATGTCGTGCGAATGTATGTGTGCCACAATGCAGACGTGTCGATAGTGATCAAATTTCTAAAACAGCACTACAACGAGAGACTTGAAACTACCTTTCAATATAAAAATAGGGCAGCTGATTTTTGGTGATTAAAAGCTATCTTTGTGTTTCCGTTTCACCTAGTTCAATCATTGTATTAGATACGTAACCACCCTGTTTGTATTCTCCAAAACACTATGCTATGTGATGTATTCAGTGGCGTTAGACTAGGTTTATACAATGTTGAATACAACCTATTCAATCTCTTGTCTTCCGTCAGTAGAGATATATTGCATAGTCTGTCCTAAAAACCGACTTTCTTTGTTCTCCAATATTCAAATATAGTCTGCCACAGATGTACCATCGGCAACAGTGGAATCATCACCGATGACACAAGCTCTGCAGTACTCCCCCGCCTTCGAAGCGTCGGTAAGTGCTCTTTTCACCTCATAATGTGTACGCTTGGAGACGTACGAAGTACTCAGTCGGGGTGGTGTCTGTCGAATGTGTCTTGCAGTTTCGTCGAACATCACATGACGCTGAAGCTTTTGTAGTGGTGACTATGAGTATTTGTTTGCCGTCATTCGCCATGTTAAAGACTAAGTAAATTTGCTTAGCACAACTCCAGCTCATCATTAACGTCCGCACAGTTATGTAAAAACACGAACGTATTCTTTGTAATCAGTTATCCTCCCCATAGTCATGCTACAGCACTCCAATGTTTCTGCCTATAGTTTATTCCGGCGTGATATGTGTACACTTTTAGATATGCTGATGTATAGTACTGTCTAATCCCTGACATACTTATTCACAACTGCTGTGCAATAAACTTCGTACAGA